CGACCATTTCTGGCCAGCAACTTCCAGCGTCATTAAGCCGCTGCGCCACCGCGTCCCCTTAATAATATTTTATTAATATTAATATTAATAATTAATATTATTAATATTATTATATTAATTAATTAATTAATTAATATTATTATAATAATTATTAATATTAATAATAAAATATTAATAATATTTTATGGAGATAATAAAATATATCAGGATTTGAACTAATATAGTCTGTCTTCTGCAATGTGAAGACTACATTTTTCTCTGTCAGCATAACCATAGGCCATAGTGGATGGGTATTCCAGAGGTCATAGATCAATACTTCTATGGAAAAGATAAGTCTGCAGGACTGGATTGAAGAATGACTATAGATATCTAGAGCAATAAATACAGTAGGAAAATTTAATTCAGTTCTTCTTCCAAATGTGGAGATACCAAAAACCAGGACTTTTTCTTTTTATGATTTGAAATTACAAAACTGCTTTCATATTCATGTTTTGTGTATGAAAAATTGTTGGTTGGGGTTAATCTATGTATATATTATTATTCTCTTTTTTTTACTTTTCTTTTATCCTCCACCAATATTCAGAATCTTTGGCCATCTCAATCTCCGTTCTGAATGGCAACTAATAAAAGTGGATTATAAATCTATCTTTAGCAGAAGATGCACCAAGGATGATTTCCGGTCATGGCATTTACACAACCAGGTAGGAATACACCAAACTATCTTTCTGTCTTCCAGAAGGGCTCCTGTTCCTAGCTGTGAGTGCTGTTATAAATTAATGAATGTAAATCACATGATTTAGTTAAACTGGAAGATGAGAAGAAATAGAAATCTGAATAGGATACTAGAAAGGTGACTATGACCACTGACAAAATGTCACACAAATACTTGCTTTAGTTATCTGACTTATGATGATATGGTTTAGGAGAACAAAAATATGGGTGACAGAATTTCAGAAGTAGCTGCATAAATGAGAAGGAACTACAGGGAAAAAGGAAAATTGTGATTTTTTTTTGTTTGCTTTCTGCATTTGACTTATAGACAGGCTATAGGTGTAAAGGAATGCAGAACTGATTTTGGGGAAAGAATGAATGAACCATTAAGAGGGGTCTTGCAGAAAATATTACACAGTCTTAAGAAGAAGGGAAGCGTGAGAAAGAAACCCAGAATAACTCTACGATATTTACTGTAAGATGGGACAGAGAGAAACTTGGGCAGATTTACAAGATTCTGTTATTCTACTTTAGTACAATAAAAAGCATTTCTGGAATCCATGCCGTGCTTGCTTCTCAGTGTGGGTGACCTTGAAGGATTGACAATAAGGAAGAGTTTATCAGAAAATAAACAGAATGCTTTTCCCACTATCCTCACATTTCATTCCATTTTCAGTTTCCATGTAATTGTACTTATTTCTATAACAGTGACAGTGTAAGGCATCAATCTCCATTGTATCAAGCTCTAATATGGATGTTTTCTTGAAAAAATGAAGCATCTGTGCACCTTGTATAATGAACATGTACACAAGAGTATATTTACCCATGCTATTCCAACTCACTATTCTTCTGCATCAAAGGGTGAACCTTGTGTCATGGGAGAAAGGAAGATCTATAAGAAACGCAAAGCAGGGGCATGGTGTGCATTGTCTAGAGATTACTCAAGAACAGTTGTTTCCGAACCATGCATCTGTGCTGAGTGGGACTTTGAATGGTAAGTATTTGCATGCCACCACTATCCAAAAAGACTCTCAGCAGCTTAAATAGAATGGATACAAACTAAAATATCCACACTAGGACCAACACAACTGCAAACACATTAAAAATAAAAAACTTATAAAGTGCAAATAAGATAACTGAAACTAAAGATGAAAAAACCCCTAAAAACTAGGAGAACAATCAGAGGAAAACTTTCTGAAACAATTCCATTTTTAAAAGCTTCCAAAAAACCAACAGAGAGCCAGTCTGATCTCCATGGGGAGGCTATTCCACCATGTTCACACTGCTGCAGAGAAAGATGCCACCTTACCCCAGCCCCTCCTGAAAGTGTGGGATTTACAGCAGTTTCTTCATGGTAGATCTAATTGGTTGGGCCAATACTGATGGGAGTAGATAGTCCTGGAGGTACCCAGGCACCAAGCCATTCATTCATTCATTCATTCATTCATTCATTCATTTATTTATTTATTTATTTATTTATTTATTTATAAGATTTAGTCACTGCCCATCTCACTCAATGAGTAACTCTGGGCAGTTTACAATAAAACAAGAAGAAATACTATTTAAAACAGATTAAAAACAGTGTACATAAATAAATAATGTATTCCAAGGAATTGATGGTAAATTAAAAGTATTAATCTACAGGAGCAGGTGCCAGCCACCCCCAGGGTTGGTTACCTCATGCCCCACGCGAGTTGGCAGAGTCAGGTCTTCACCCCTTTCCAGAAGGCCAGGAGAG